CCGTGAGCGGACTGTCGTTCCCACGGCAGATCTGCCGCTTGCTAGTCAAACCGCCCGACATCACGGCGATCCGCCGGACTGTGCGGCCCGGCTCGGTGGCTGGAAGGCGATGATCGCGATGTGAGCGTGTTCGTGGGAGAGCCATCCGCGCTCTGCTGGTGCAGCCGCTGCATCCGAGGCGGTGGATCCGCGTCGACGACCACAGCCGCTACCGCACGACCCGATGGGGCGCCTGAACCGCACCGCGTACTACGTGACCTCGGCGACTTCGGAGCGATGCCGAGGTGGACGAGGCGTGGACGGTCAGCGCGCCAACACGAGGCGTTGAGCGGCACATCGCACCGCGGACTTGCCTACAACGCCGCAATGCCGGAGTTGGCGCCTGGGTGCACAACACCCTCACCGAGTCGTTCCTGGTGGCCTACCGGGAGTTCGGCCTGGGGCTGACGGAGGCTGAGGCCGATCGGTTCGTGGTCGAGCAGTCCCAGGTGGGCGCCATGCTGGGCGCGGCGCCGCTGCCTCAGACCTCCGCCGAGCTGCACCAATGGGTCAACACCCATCCGGCGCTGGCGCCCAGCCCCGGCATGCGAGCCGCAGTTGACTTCCTGCGACAGCCGCCTTCCTGCCGCCAGCGGCCTGTGGGAGATACGCGGTGCTGATGCAGGGAGCAGTCGCCACGATGCCGCCATCGCTGACCGGGTACTCGGTGCACTGAAGGCCCGCCGGTGGCCGCTCGCGCCGCAGACCACACTGCTGCGTGTTCCTGCGCTAGCTGCGCAACAGCCGTCGTGGAGAGCCGCATGGACCGCTGCAGATGGCTACGACCCGTCTAAGTTCCGAGAGATGCCCTGACGCCTCCGTCTCCGGGCGGGCTCGAACTGCAGGTACCCGGTCGAGCCTTGCTCAGCCACCGACACACCCTCTACGGGCGGGCCCGACTGTCCGGCTGCAGCTGCATGTCTCCGGCACCCATCAGGAGGACTCCGCAGAGCGGCGAATGCCAGCGAGGAACACCTCCACCTCGTGTTTTGTGCTTTGTAATTATGTCGATGGTGCGGCGAAAGAGGCACGCAGGAGGTCCTGGCGGTACCCCGCTGTCGCCAGCCGCGAGTCGAGCACTGCGACGACTCCCCGGTCGTCGGCGGAACGGATGAGCCGTCCGGTGCCCTGGGCGAGCATCGTCGCCGCTCGGGGGACGTCAATCTTGCGGAACGCGGCCGGACCGCAGCGTTGACGGCGGGCGCTCATCAGTGGCTCGTCAGGCCGGGTGAACGGGATGCGGTCGACGACGACGAGCGACAGCGACCGGCCGGGCACGTCCACGCCCTGCCACATGCCCATGGTCGCGAACAAACAGCTCTCTTCATGTTCGGCGAACCGGCGCATCAGTTCTTGTTTGGGTAGGTCGCGCTGGGTGTAGATGACCAGCCCGGTCATCACGCGGACCGCTTCGGCGGCCCGGTCCATGGCGTCGTAGCTGTGAGACCAGCCGCATGCGTGCGCCGCCGCCGCAGTGGCCATCCGAGCGATCTGCTGGTGGGCGCCCCGGTCCCTGCCGGGTCTGTTCGGGTTGGGGAGGCTCTTCGCACAGTAGAGCAGGCCGCTGGTGCGGTAGTCGAACGGACTTCCCACATCGAGTCTCGGAAAGCACTGGTCGTCGGGCACGCCGAATTGAGAGGCGTGTCGACAGGTTCGTGGGGCCGTCAGCGACTGGTCAGCACGCAGGAGGTGTGCTTCCACGAGGCGTCAGGAGCAGCGGGCTGACATCGATCGGGGCGGTCCGCCAGGCAGGGTTTCGGTCGGTTCCTTCCACCCACACCGCGTCCTCGGTCTCCAGGTCCGATGCCCGGGCGAGGTCTTCGGCAAGAGCGGCGATAGTTCGCCGGGCCCTCCGCTTCGGGTGTCTCGTCGCCGGGAGCATCGCGGAGCATTCTAGGCGCATTATCAGCAGCGTCGAGGCGCCCCCGGCACGGACGGCAAGATCCACCAGCTCGTCGGGAACGGTAGACAGCAGCGTGTCACGGTGGGAGCGCAGCGCGACGGCGCGAGCAGGTGCCGTGCCGTCCACCTCGCCGGCCGTCCTCGAATTGGCACTGCGGCCCTCACCGCTGGGCCGCAAAAAAAAGAAAAACAAAAAAAGCCGCGAACCTTCCACCGGTGAGAGACACTCCGTCGGCCGCCGAGCGCCGATTCCATCGACAGTGTTCGCTATCGTCGAGCACACACCGCGTCGTGAGCGGGAGAGACGTCGGCATCGGTGAACACATGCAGGCAGTACAGGTGGGTGTTCACGACCAGCACGTCGACGTCGGCTGCCGCGTTCCTGGCACGCTCGGCGAAGCACTCAGCCCCCGACGGGCAGTTGTTCGCCCCTGGGTAGGCCCCACTCCCGTCCGAGAACCGCTCACCCCTTCCACCAAGTCCCGCGGGGAACGGCTCGAAGTCGGAGGCCGTCCCGGTCTTCCCGGTCCGGATCTCGTTGGCCAGTCCCGTCCAGCCGCGCGACCTCCTCGCGGATCCGGCCGGCCTCCTCAGCCGAGCGGGCCTCGACTCGCCTGCCCTGCTCACTGAAGCGCACGTGACAAATCAGCAGAGTTCTTGAGGCAGATCTTGTAGTGTGGACCGGCCCTGAGCGTAACACGCGAACCGCAGCGGCTTCGCCCAGGGCCTGCGCCCGTTGGGTGGCAGGTCTTGTTGACAAGCTGGTCCTGGAGGGCCTTGGTGGCGGTGGCCACGACAGCCTTCTTGCCGCTCGCCACCAGCGGCGCTCTAGTAGCCATCGACTTTGCCGTGTGCCTGGGTGCCGTGGCCGCGACTACCAGGTGCCTGTCCTGGTCGAGGGCAGATGCGACTGCTCGCATCACTCTGGCGCTGCCCGGACTGCCGTCTGTCCCCGCTCCGCGACATGAGAGGAGACCGCGTGTCGAGCGCCTCGACGGCGGCTTCCACGGCGCTCACAGCCATCGACGGTACCGGCACTCACAGACAGAGTCGCCACAGTCGAGGGAGTGTGCCGTACCGAGAGAGGCTCCCGCGGATGTGGACGCTGACAGGTCGGGCCTGCCGTGTGACTGGCCGTACGCTGCGAGGCGTGAGCGAGCCAGGCGAAGCCGCACAACCCGAGTCGGCCGACGCCGGCGAGGGCAACGTCAGGTGCGGTGCGTGAACCTAAAGCAGAAAGAAAGAAGTCGATGCGCGAGGCGATGCAGGCGCCGCTGACCGTGTTCGAGGCAGTGGGAGGCCAGCCGTTCTTCGAAGAGCTGGTGGACAGTTTCTATGACGCGGTCAGAGAGGACGATCCGCGGCTGCGGCCTATGTACCCGAGGGACATGGGGCCCTCCCGCAAGCGTCTCGCCGGCTTCCATAGGCCCAGTAGTCTGGCGGCCGCCCCAGATACAGCGAGAGAGGGCCATCCCCGCCTGCGGATGCGGCACATGCCCTTCGCCATCGGCCAAGCCGAGCGAGACGCTTGGATGGAACACATGACGGCCTCGCTCGACGCGGCCACCATCGCCGCGACGGCACAGTGGCACAGCGTGCCACGACGACGATCCGGGCCGCGATGTTCGACCATTTTGACAACGCAGCCACCCACCTCATCAACCAGCCGCCGGCTAGCAGCTAGTTCTCCGTCCTCCGTGAGCCGCCTACAGCCCGGTCCGTTAGACCGCTGTCGACAGAAGGAAGAAGTCGCCAGTCACGCCGGCCGGGTGTCTTCTGTGAGCAGGTGGGACGGCCGCCGACAAGGGATCTTGGCGTGTCGATGCGTGGTGCGCCTCGTGCATAGGCACCAGATCGCCGTGAACCCACACCGCGTCGATGCCGTCGGGCGCGACCAGCGGGTCCTCGTAGCTGTTGCGTTCGGTGACCGGTCCCAGTCGAACAGCACCAGGAGGCGTCGGCGCCGGGCCGCAGCGCCGGACTCGGCAGGCCCATGAACTCACAGGGCATCACCGCTAGGCGGTGAACGATCTCGACCAGGTCGATGCCCAGCTCCCGGGCCATGCGCAGCGCCTTGGGAAACGACCCCAGCGAGCGGGGATGGGGCTTCTGGCCCGGCCCCGGCATCAGCCCGTCGGTGCACAGCGCCATGTTGGGGCGGCGGAAGAACCGCTCGACGGTGGCCTCGTTGCCGTAGTGGCTGATGATGGAGACCTCGCCCCGGTTGTGGAGGAAGAAGTCGCACACCGCGTCGTGGGCCTCGACCGAGGACATGTCGGTCACCCCCGCAGCCAGCACCACGTCCGAGAAGCGCTTGCCCAGGAACTCGTCGCCCACGCCCTCGCACCCCCGCAATCTGGACGCCCTCCAGGCCCCCGCAGAAGGCCACGAAGTTGTCCCAGCCGGAGCCGTCGCCGTAGATCTTCTCGAAGGCGAACCGGCGCACGTCGTCGTCGCTCAGCCGGGCCATGAACTCGGCCCGGGTGCCCGAGCGGACCTCCGGGGGAACAGGGCGTCGGCGGTGGTGCTGCCCGCGGTGTAGGGGTACATGTTGCCCATCGTCGGCACCGAGCCGGACGCGTCGTCGAGCTTGGCCTCCACCTCAGCGAAGCGGTCCCAGTTCCGGCGCCCGGCGATCTTGGAGTGCTCGCTGCAGTACCCGCCGCCGCCGTCCACCGCGGCGGTGATCACCTCGTCGAGGGCGACCAGGATGTCGTCGCTCTCCGAGCGCAGGTGGGGGTACAGCGCGCCCGGCTTGACCTCGTTGAACGCCCGCACCAGGGCAGTGATCTCCCGCTGGTCGGAGTACACCGCCGGGTTGTAGACGAGGCCGGTGGACAGGCCCAGGCACCAGGGCGCCTCGCGGCGCACCACCTCGGCCATAGCCCGGATCTGCTCGTCGTCGGCCGTCCGGTCGAGGTTGCCCATCACGAGTGCGGCGCACCGCGCTGTGGCCCAGGTGCATCCGAGATCGGTCACCGACCGGCCCCGGTGCCACCGCAGGAACTCCTCGATCGTCGTCCACGGCCACCGGCCGCCGCCGGCCGGATCATCACCGTCGGGATCGCCTCCAGGGCCCGCGGCGCCGTCGAGGGGGACGAGCTGTGCGGCGTACTCGGCCCGCTGGTCGGACGCCACCGGCGCCGGCGACAGCCCGTCCACGCCGCAGATGCGCTTGGTGACACCGCCGCGCACCGCCATCTCGCAGCTAACGGGGATGCCATGTTCGCCGATGCGAGTGCCGCCCAGGGCACCGTGATTGTGGGTGTCCACAAAGCCGGGAGCCAGCACCCGGCCACCTGCGTCGATGGTGAGCTCCGCCCCGGCCGCCGCGCTGGGCGGCACGGAGCCCAAGTGCACCACGACGTCGCCGTCGATGAGCGCGTCGCCGCGGTAGGGCTCGGTCGCCCCGTCGCCGGTGACGATGAGCGCGTCGGTGATCAGCTGGCGCACGGTCTCACGGTCTCACGGTATCCGGGCCAGCGCGGGCCTCGGAGCCGGCCGCCGGTGCTTCGCGAGACGCCCGTCCCTCTGGGTCGGAGCGCGGGCCGGACCCCGACTGGCTCCCCCTCAGAGTGCGTGAGCGAAGGTGGCGAGGTCGCGGGCTGAGGCCGCGTAGACCTCCGGCATGGCGCCCGGCAGCAGCAGGTCGCCGGCGTGGCAGGTTCCGTTGACGGTGCGGCCGAACACCGACACGCCTGCCGCCATGAGCTTGCGGTAGTAGCCGAGCCCCTCGTCTCGCAGCGGGTCGAGCTCGTTGACCGAGACCACGTGGGGCGGCATGCCCACAAGGTCGTCGACTTGGGCATGCCAGGGCCAGGCCAGCGGGTTCGTCAGGTTCGCCCCGCCCGGGTCGTAGGCCTCGACGAAGTACCCCATCGTGTCGTTGGCGATGAAGTACCCATCGTTCTCGCGCAGCGACGGCAGCTCCGGCGGCGGGCTGGCGTAGGTGCCGGAGATGTAGGGGCACTGGGCGTACACGCCGTCGATCATTGCGAGACGGCCTTCCTGACGGGCCCTGAGCGAGGTGGCCAGCGTGAGGTTGCCGCCGCCGGACTCCCCCGACACGACCAGCTTCGAAGGCCCAGTCGTCCGGTGCGAGTGCATCCATTCCAGTGCCGAGGTGCAGTCGTTGAGGGCCGCAGGGAACGGATGGCAGCCGAGCGCTCCGGCCGCGTTGCGGAACTCCACCCCCACCACGACCAGCCTGCGAGCAGCCAGCTCGTCGCGCCAGCGCCGGTAGGAGGCGCCCGCCGCGGAGAGGATCACCATGCCGCCGCCGTGGATGTGCAGGATCCCCGGATACGGGCCGCCGTCGCCGGCCGGGCGGTGGATGTAGAGGCTGATGTCGTTGCCGTCGACGCCGGAGATCACCTCGGTGCGCGACTCCACACCCTCGACGGGCGGCAGGGCCGCGAACAGCACGTCGAAGAGCTGCTCGAAGCCCGGCTCGCCCAGGGCCGCCAGGGCGCGGATGTCCTCCAGCGACGAGTCGGGGGTCAGGGGGACGGGATCGGCCCGCCCGGCCACGCCGAGCGGCTCCAACGCCGCCACCATGCGGGGATCGGCGCGCGGGTCGGTGGCCAGGGTCAGGTTCGGGTCGCCCAGCCGTCCGGGGAGGTTGGGCCTGAGCGTCATCGTCGTCTCCGACATCGGAGGGCTCCTTCCATGGCTCGGCAGGTCCGTGCGTGCGCCGCACCCTAACTTGCCGATTGGCTCTCCAAGGCGCCGGAACCGAAGCCGAGGACCCAGCACAGCCGGTGCCGGGTGCAGACCGCGCTCGGGGCAGACTCGCCGCCGTGCGCGGAACTGGGCATCGCATGGGCGAGCGGGAGTTCGTGTTGTTCATTGCCCTGGTGAGCGCCATGTCGGCCCTGGCCATCGACATGCTCCTGCCCGCCTTCGAGGACATGCGGCCCGCCTTCGGCCTCGACGACGACTCCACCCGGCTGTCGCTCACTGTCACCCTGTTCCTGATGGGCGCAGGAGTGGGGAACCTGTTCTACGGCCCAATCGCCGACGCTGTTGGGCGCAAGCCGACACTCGCCGGGAGCATGACGCTGTATGGCGTCGCGGCGCTCGCCGCGGCGCTCGCACCGTCGCTGGGCGTGCTCTACGCCAGCCGCTTCGTGTGGGGATTCGCATCGGCGGGTTCCCGGACCCTGACGCAAGCCATCGTGCGCGACCGCTTCGCGGGCACCGCCATGGCCCGCGTGATGACACTCGTCCAGACCGCCTTCTTCCTCGCGCCGATCCTCGCCCCGGTACTGGGCAAGGTCCTGGTGGAGGTCGGATCGTGGCGTTGGGTCCTGGCATCCGGGGTGGTCACCGCGCTCATCGTGCTCGGATGGTCGCTGCGCATAGGTGAGACCCTCGACCCCGCCAATCGTCGCCCGCTGAGGCTCGGGCCGGTGCTGGCGGGATTCCGAGTCGTGATCCGCAACCGCACCTCGCTGGGTTACACGCTCATGGTCACGTTCGGCTTCGCGGCCTTCCTGTCCTTCCTGGGCAGCACCGAGCTTGTCTTCAGCGATGTGTACAACCGCCCGGGCTGGTTCGTTCCGTACTTCTCTGCCTTCGGCATGGTGGCGGCGACCGTGGCGCTGGTCAGCAACCGCGTGCTGTACAAGGTGGATGCCCGCCAGTTGGCACTGGGAGCAGGCATCGCGTTCGCGGCCGCTTCGGTGGCGCTGTTCGCCGTGACCGCCGCGAGCGACGGCCTGCCGCCGTTCGGAGCCGGCTGGTGCTGATTCAGCTGGCCAACGCATGCCACGTCGGGGTGTTCCCAACCGGCATGAGCCTGGCCCTGGAGCCGATGGGAACGATGGCGGGCACGGCTGCGGCGTGTGCTCGGGTTCAGCACCTCGCTGCTCGGCTCGCTGCTGGCCTCGTTCAACCGACCGGGCCATCGACGGCTCCGTGATGCCGATCGGCGTCGCCTACATCGCTACAGCTCGATCGCGCTGGTTTGCCAGCTCTGGGCCCGCGGCGGAGCCTCAGCCGATAACTGGACCCGTCGGCCAGCGAGATCGTGTGGCCAGGCAGACTCGTCACCGTGAGCAGTTCGTTGCGCCGCATGGGCCCCAGAGAGTTCGTGCTGCTCATGGCGCTGTTGACCGCCATGTCGAGCCTGGCCATCGACCTCATGCTGCCCGCCTTCGCGCAGATGCGTACCGCGTTCGGCCTCGACGACGACTCCACCCGGCTGTCGCTCACCGTGACCCTGTTCCTGATGGGTGCGGGGGTCGGGCACTTGTTCTACGGCCCCATCGCCGACGCGGTCGGCCGCAAGCCGACACTGGTGGGCAGCTTGGTGCTGTACGCCGCGGCCGCCCTGAGCGGCGCTGGCCCCGTCCCTTGGCGTGCTCTACGTCAGCCGGTTCGTGTGGGGGTTCGCCGCGGCCGGACCTCGGACCCTGGCTGCAGGCCATCGTGCGCGACCGCTTCGCGGGCACGACCATGGCTCGAGTGATGACGCTCATCCAGACGGTGTTCTTCATCGCGCCGATCACGGCACCAGGTCTCGGCAAGGCCTTGGTGGTGATTGGCTCATGGCGCTGGGTGATGGCCTTCGGTGTGGTGACCGGGCTGGCGGCGCTGCGTGGGACGGTGCGCCTCGAGAGACGCTCGACCCTGCACACCGCCGGCCGCTGCGGCTGGGGCGGTGCTGGCGGGCTTCCGCTTCGTGGTCTCCAACCGCACCGCTGTCGGTTACACGCTGATGGTCACCCTGAGCTTCGGGGCCTTCCTGGCCTACTTGGGCAGCAGCGAGCTGATCTTCAGCGACGTGTACGACCGCGCCGGCTGGTTCGTTCCGTACTTCACCGTCGCCGGGGTGGTGGCGGCGGCCGTGGCCTTGAGCAGCAACCGCCTGCTGCACCGGCTGCACGCCCGCCAGCTGGCGCTCGGCGCCGGCAGCGCGTTCGCCGCTGCCTCAGCCGCGCTGTTCGCAGTCACGATCGCAAGTGACGGCTGCCGCCATTCGGCGTGTGGCTGGTGCTGTACAGCTTGTGCAACTCCATTCATGTAGCGGTGTTCCCGAGCGGAATAAGCCTGGCTCTGGAACCGATGGGAGCGATGGCCGGCACGGCCGCATCCGTGCTGGGGTTCAGCGCCTGGATGCTGGGGTCGCTGCTGGCCTCCTTCACCGACCGGGCCATCGACGGCTCGGTCATGCCGATCGGCGTCGCCTACTTCACCTTCAGCACAATCGCGCTGGCGTGCCAGCTGTGGGCCCGCGGCGGCTCAACAAGCCCGTAGGTCGGCGATGATGATTGTCGGGCGCGCGGCCTCACTGCTGCTGCTGGGCCTGCTGGTTGCGCCAGTCCGGGGCCGGTGGCGCTGCGACCGCGGCGCCCGGCCGGCTCGGGGCGCCGGCCGGAACGGAGGGCTGTGCATCGACCTGCCTTCCGATCACCACCTCGGCGTCCACCTCTGCGGTTCCTGAGCCGATGAAGGCGCCCCGCACCGGCGGCACATCGCCGTAGTCGCGCCCGCAGCCGATCACCACATGGCGCTCGCCGACCTCGCCTCCGTTGGTCGGGTCGAGCGCCCACCAGCCCCATCCGGGCACGGCTGCTTCGATCCAGGCGTGGGTCTGCACGCTCACTACGTCCGCAGTGACGTCATCGGGCGAGGTCTCGTCGGGCGAGGTCTCGTCGGCTGCGAACAGGTAGCCCGATACGTAGCGGGTCGGGATTCCCACGCTGCGCAGCATCCCGGTAGCCAGATGGGCGAAGTCCTGGCAGACGCCCGCCCCGCCCGAGAGCAACTCCGCCAGCGTGATGCCGATGTCGGTGACGCCCTGCTGGTAGACAAGCGCCTCGCGCACGTCACTAACCACCGCGGCGACCATCTCCTGCACCGACGAGGCTCCGGCGACGGCGGACGCGGCCCGCCGCTCGACGGCGTCGCCGCCATCCCAGTACACATGCTGAGATTGAGCCAGGAACTCAAGGTGCGCGAACCGGAAGTCGGCGTCGGCCTGTGTCCCGACCGCCGCGGCTCGGGTCGGCGTCGGGCGCGGATCGGTCTCCACAGTGGCCTCGGCCAGCAGCTCCAGTTCGGTGTGGGGGATGCGAACGCCGAGGTGCTCCACGGTTGTGCCCCAATAGTCGAGCACACCGAGCACCTTTATGTCAGGCCGCGAGGTCAACCGGTACGACAGCACCCGCTGCCACCCGTCGTCCCGGGGCCGCACCCGCACCTCGTTCTGCGACTCGGTCACGGCCTCCAAGTAGCGGAAGTGCATCCGGTAGGAAATCCCGAGCCTCACGGCGTGCTCCTGCGGGGGCGGATCCCCTTGTCGAGCTTCACGGCCCGACCCCCTCGCCACCATGGCCGGGGCGGATGTACTGCGAGCGCACGGTGGCCATCGGGAGTGGCGGCACGATGCCGGCCTGCACCTCGCCAGCCAACTCTGCCAGCACCGCCGCAAGATCCACCAGCGTTGGCACCGGCGCGGAGGCCATTGCCTCCTCGACCTCGCCCAGTTCCAGGCGGGCGCGCAGCAGCCCGGCCTTGCGGCGCGGCCGATCGAGGGCCGCGGCGGCCGATCCGAGGCCGGTCAGGCACTCCTCGGCCCGGTCAAGACACGACAGCACCGAGCGGGGGCAGGTCGCGAGCGTGCAGCAGGTAGCGCACGACGCCGCCGAAGTCGGGGGCGTTGCCGTGCTGGCGGTGGTAGGCCTGCAAACGAACTGGTGAGGCGCAGCATCCTGGTGGCGTCCATACCCCCCGGAATCGGTGTGGCTCGCCTCGAGCAAGTTCACCGTGAAGATCGAACGTTCCAGCATCCGCCCCACGACAACGAACGCGTGCCCGTCGTCGCGCCTCATGCCCTCGTTCAGGATCCCGGAGATGGCCAGGCAGGCCCGCCGGACCATCAGCAGCACCTCATGGAGCCCGCTCGGCGCGGCGTCGGCGTGACCGAGGAAGGGGAACCTGAGGTACAGGCTGTTGGCCTCCTCCCACAGCTCTATGGGAATCCGGTCCCGGACTGAGCGCAGGTTCTCGCGGACCGCGGTGACGGACGACACGACCGAACCGGGGTTGTCGGCGTCCGACAGCAGGAAGGCGACCAGTTGCGGCCGGCTCTCCAGCGGCCCGACCGCTTCCAGCTCCTGTTGGAGGCCGAGGGTCCTGACGAGCAGCTCGCCCTCGGCCGGGCCTCGTCGGCGCGCAGGTGCGTGATCGAGTTGGCCGCGTAGTTGAGGCATCTCGACGTGTGCTCGGCCCGCTCCAGGTAGCGGCCCGCCCACAGCAGCGCCTCGGCGTGACGGGCCAGGATCATGGCGCCTCGGATCAGGGGCGTTTCGGGTGCCAGCACCCAGGTGTCTTTGGAGCCCCCGCCCTGGGAGGAGTTCACGATGAGCGACCCGCGCCGCATGGCCACCCGGGTCAGCCCGCCGGGGAACACCTGGGTCCGCTCGCCGGTCAGCACGAAGGGCCGCAGTCCAGATGGCGGGGCTCAAGGCGTTGCCCCGCGAACGAGGGCAGCGTGGAGAGCTGCACCACCTCCTGCACGATCCAGTTTCGGGGCTCGGCCTCGATGGTGGCGCGGGCGTCGCCAGCTCCTGCTCGGTGGCGTGGGGACCGATCAGCACGCCGATAGCCGCCGGACTCCCCGACCGGCTTGACCACCAGCTCGTCCAGCCTTGCCAGCGCCTCGCCGCGCTGATCGGGATCCCACATCATGTAGGTGGTGACGTTCTCGATGATCGGCTCGGCGCCGAGGTAGTACCTGATCAACTCGGGCACGTAGGGGTACACACCCTTGTCGTCGGCGACGCCGTTCCCGAGCGCGTTGCACACCGTCACAGTCCCAGCCCGCAGAGCGCCGAGCAGACCCGGCACACCCAGCGTCGAGTCGGGCCGGAAGGCCACCGGGTCCAGGAAGTCGTCATCGATGCGCCGGTAGATCACGTCCACCTTCACCAGCCCCTTCGATGGTGCGGGAGTACACCGTGTGATCGTCGACCACCAGGTCCCGGCCCTCGACCAGCTCCACGCCCATGGAGCGGGCCAGGAAGGCGTGCTCGAAGTAGGCGGCGTTGAATATGCCCGGGGTCAGCACGACGATGTGCGGGGAGTCCTCCCCAAGGGCCATCGACTCCAGCGTGGAGCGCAGCATCTGCCCGTACTGCTCGGTGGGCTGCACCGCGTGGTCGTAGAACAGCCAGCTGCAGGCCTTGGCCATGGCCGCCCGGTTCTCGACCACGTAGGAGATGCCGCTGGGGCTGCGCAGGTTGTCCTCCAGCACCCGGTAGCGGCCGTCGGCGCCGCGCACCACGTCGATCCCGGCGACGGTGCAGTGCGCGGAGTAGGGACGCTGATCCCCATGGCGTTGCGCTCGAAACCCTGCGACGACACCACCAGCCATCGGGGCACCACCCCATCGGCGATGGCCGCGCCCTCGCCACAGTACAGATCGGCCAAGAAACAGTTGAGCGCCGCCACCCTCTGGCTGAGGCCCCGAGCCAGCTCGTCCCACTCGGCCGCGGCGATGAGGCGGGGGAACAGGTCCATGGGCCAGATGCGCTCGGTTCCGTCCTCCTCGCTGTACACGGTGAAGGTGATTCCCTGGCGGCGGAACTCGTCGGCGACGAGCTTCTCGAGACGCTGCACCTCGCCGACGTCCAGATCGCGGAACCGCTCGACGATGCGGCTGTAGGCGTCGCGGACAGACCCGTCGGGCTCGAACGCTTCGTCGTACGCCGGGCCCGTCTGGTATCCGTCGAGCAACCCGCCCGGCTCAGGCAACGCGTCGGCCACGGCCGGTCATCGTAGGTCAGGCGCAGCAACCGCCGTAGTTGGCCCCTTCAGCCAGCCGCCTTGGCCTGCTCGAATATGAGTGCCCCGGGTAGCTTGGCCGACCATGAGCACCCAGAAGATTCAGGAGTCGATCCTCGAGGCCGTCAGCGACGGCGAGCCTTTGGCTGTGCCGCGCGCCCGTCCCGCGTCCGGCGGGCCCCACCCGCTGGTGGTCATGTTCATGGACCGTCCCGGCATCCGCGATGCCCTGCACGGTTTTCGCCCGACGCCTGGCCGGCAACGGCTTCGACGTGATCCTGCCCGACCTCTACCACCGCCACGGCCGGATGATCGGCTACGGCCCCGCGGAGATGGCCGCCGACCCCGGCGCGCCCGAGAGGCTGTCCGCGCTGATGGCGTCGCTCACCGACGACGGCATCCAGAACGATCTTGACGCGGCTCTCGACGCGGTTGCGGCCGACCGTCCAGCCGGGTCGCTGCAGTCGGCCGGCTGCATCGGCTTCTGCCTCGGGGCCCGAGCCGTGTTCCGCACCATGATGCGACTGCCAGAGCAGTTCAGAGCAGGAGCGATGTGGCACCCGTCGTTCTGGTCGACAACGGAGCCGACTCCCCTCACCTGACCGCCGGCGAGCTTGCCGGCTCTCTGTATGTCGGCTTCGGCGAGGCCGACCAGATGATGAGCGTGGCCAGCATGAGGCCCTTCATCGACGCCGTCTCGGTCCTGGGCGACCGGGTCGCCATCGACATCCTGCCCGGCGCCAACCACGGCTACACCTGGCCCGACGCGCCGAGCTACAACGAGGCCGGCGCGAGAGGGCCTGGTCCCAAACGCTGGCGCTGTTCAGCACCGCGCTGCGCTCCGGGACTGAGCCGCCGTCCCCTGGATCTGGCAGCGTCTCAGCACTCCTAGCGAGCATTTCACTGCCAATTCACAGTACGGGTCCGTTGGCCTCAGGAAAACTGGCAGCGTCTTGCCCGCATAGCGAGCTTTCACTGCCATTCCCGGATCCGGGCTCGGAGGCGATCGGTCGCAGCAGTGGCTGACCCTGGTCGGCCCGCCGTGAAGTACCAGACCGTGGACGACCTGCGTCGGCGGGCCCGGCGCCGGACCCCTCGATTCGCCTGGGAGTACCTCGACAGCGGTGAGGGCGACGAGCGGGCCAGCGCCCGCAACACCGAGTCGCTCCAGCGGGTGCTGCTCACGCCGCGGTTCTCAAGGGCCGGCTGGAGCCCGACATCGGCACCGAGTTGTTCGGGGTCCGCTATTCGCTGCCGGTGGGGATCGCGCCGGTGGGGCTGACGGGGCTGATATGGCCCGGCGCGGATGTCGCGCTGGCCGAGACGGCCGCCCGTTGCAGGCATCCCCTATGTGGCCAGCACGGTAAACACCGCCGACGTCTCCGTGGTGGGGCCTCGTGCCGCGGGCATGGGCTGGTTCCAGCTCTACCCTCCGAGAGACACCGGCGTCCGGAAGACCTGCTGCACCGAGCTCAGCAGGCAGGGTTCACGGTCCTGGTGGTGACTGCCGACGTTCCGGCCCGGGCCCGCCGGGAGCGCCAGACCCGTGAGCGCGTCTCTATGCCGCCCCGGATCACGCCCCGCCATGTGAGCCAGGCTGCGCTCAGGCCGGCGTGGACCCTGGGGCTGCTGCGCACCGGACTGCCCCGGTTCCACACGCTGGAGCCCTACGTGGACCGGTGACGCTGCGGCAGCTGGCCGGCTTCGTGGGGGCCAGCCTGGGCGGCACCCTGTCGTGGGAGTACCTAGCCGAGACCTGCGAGCTTTGGCCGGGGCCGGTGGTCGTCAAGGGGATCCTGCACCCCGACGACGCCGAGCGCTGCATCGAAACCGGCGCCGACGCGATAGTGGTGTCAAACCACGGAGGGCGCCAGTTCGACGCCGCCCCCGCGGCCATCGCAGCTCTGGGGCCAATCGTCGAGCGCATCGGCGGGAGGGTGCCGGTGCTGTTCGACGGCGGCGTGCGCAGCGGTCTCGACATCGCCCGGGCGCTCGCCCTGGGCGCCGACTTCGCGTTCACGGGCCGGTCGTTCATGTACGGACTGTGCGCGCTCGGAACCGGGGGCGCCGAGTTCGTGGCCTCTATGTTCGAGCAGCAGCTGGTCAGCGTGATGCACCAGCTCGGCTGCGAACGGCTGGCTGAGCTGCGCGACCGCGACCCCCGCTTCGCGCCACCTTGAGGACGTCGCGGCCGCCAGGCGAATAGAAGCGCTTGAAAACGCCTGCCGATCTGGTCCTTGAGGCTCAGGCGGCGGATAGCAGCGCTGACACGGTGCCGAGGCCGTCGATCTCGGCCAGGATCTCGTCACCATCGCTGATCGGCTGCATGGGGCAGAGCGAGCCGGTCATGATGCACTCGCCGGCGCGCAGCGGGGTGCCGCGCTGGGCCATGGCGTCGGCCAGCCACAGCACAGAGTTCAAGGGATTGCCGAGGCAGGCCGCGCCGGAACCGGTGGCCGCCTCCTCTCCGCTGACTGTGAGCCGCATCTCCACCCGACGCAGATCGACCGCGGCCAGCGGCACCGGGCGGGTTCCGAGCACGTAGAGGCCGCTGCCCGCGTTGTCGGCGATCATGTCGGCGCTGGTGATGTCCCAGGCGATGCGGCTGTCGACTATCTCCAGCGCGGGCAGCACATAGGCCGTAGCGCTGATCACGTCCGCCACGGTGTGCCTGCCCTTGTCCAGGTCGGCGCCGAGCACCACCGCCACCTCGACTTCAACCCGCGGCTCGATCAGTCCGGTGCCGCCGATGTCATCACCGTCGGTGCGGCACTTGTCGGAGTACAGGACGCCCCAGATGGGCTCGTCCATGCCAAGCTGCTCCTGGACAGCCTTGTTGGTGAGGCCCACCTTGTGCCCGCTCACCCGCCTGCCGGCCCTGAGCCAGTGCTCGGTGTTCAGCTGCTGCACCGCGTACCCGGCCGCGGGGCCGGCCGACTCGCCCAGCAGGCCGCGTACCGGTTCGCAGGGCGCACCGGCAGCCATCGCGGCCCGCAGCCGCTCGGCCGCGGCCTCGAGCGCGGCAGGCTCACCAGATCCAGTCACTCGCCGTCGCCCGTCCTCACCAGGATCAGCCTCACTCGCCGTGGACGTACTGCCAGCCGAAGCGGCCCTTGATGCACAGGTGGCCGCTGGTCACCGAATGGTCGGCGGGCGAGGTGACCTTGACGATCCGCTCGTCCTGCACGTGCAGGTCGAGGTTGCAGCCCACGCCGCAGTAGGAGCAAACGGTGCGGGTGACGGTCTGGTCCTCCGGACGCCACTCCTCGACCTCACGCAGGTCGTACTCGGTCTTGAACTGCAGCGCGCCGGTGGGGCACACCCCCACGCAGTTGCCGCAGTACACGCAGGCCGAGTCGGGCAGCGTCACGTCGAACTCGGTGGAGATCCGGGCATCGAAGCCCCGGCCGGCCACCGCGATGGCGAACGTGTTCTGGGCGTCGTCGCCACAGGCCTCAACGCACTTGTAGCACAGCACGCACTTCGAGTAGTCCCCGGATGTAGAGCTCGTCCTGGATCTTGACCGGCTCGTCGACTCGCTCGACGGGGTGGTTCTCGTCGCTGTAGCGGTCGGGGTCGGCGCCGTAGGCCTGGATCCACTGGTGCAGGTCGTCGGCCTGGCTCAGGTCCACGCCCGAGCCCAGGAACTCGAGCACCATGCGGCGGCTGTGGCGCACCCGGGGGGAGTCGGTCTGGACCACCATTTGATCCTCCGCGGGACGGGAGCACGATGGCACCAGGGCCCGGGAGCCCTCCAGCTCCACCACGCAGACCCGGCACACGTTGACCGGGGTCAGGTTCTCGGCCCAGCACAGCGTCGGGGTGTCAACTCCGGCCTGCACGCAGGCACCGTGAATGGTGGTGCCCGGTGCCACTTCCACGGGCTGGCCGTCGATGTTGAGCGTCACGGGCGTTTCACTCACGTCGGTGGCCCGATCGGCGGCTGCGGCAGTGGCTGACGGGCTCATGACGACACGGCCGACGCTATCAGGCAGGGCGATGGCGGCGCGAGGCGACATCGGGTTGGAGCCACGGGCCGACCGGTGATGCCGGTGCACCTCATGCCGGCGGTGCCTCTGCTATCAGGCCCACGCCAGCGCCGAGCGGACCGCCGAGGCCGCGGTGTGACCCAGGCCGCAGATGGAGGCGTCCACCATCACCTCGGCCATGTCGTCGATGAGGGCCGCGGGGCCGGCGACAGCGAGCCCCGCTTCTGCATCTGCACCAGCGTCTCGTGCTGGCGGACTGCGCCGACCCGGCACGGCACGCACTGCCCGCACGACTCGTTGCGGAAGAACTCGGCGATGCGCACCACCACGTCGGTCATGTCCACCGACGTGTCGAAGGCCATCACCACGCCCGAGCCGAGGGTGGTGCCCGCGGCCCGGGTGTCCTCCAGGGTCAGCGGAAGGCCCAGCGAGTCAGGGCCCACGAACGACCCGGCCGCCCCGCCCATCAGCACCGCCTGCAGTTCGCCGGTGCCGGTGATGCCCCCGGCCAGCGCCAGCAGATCTCCGAGCGTGGTGCCGAACGGCACCTCGTAGAGGCCGGATCGCCGCACGTTCCCCGACAGGCACAGCAGCTTGGTGCCCGGCGAGCGCTCGGTTCCCCGGCTGCGGTACGCGTCGGGACCCTCGATGATGACGTCGAGGACGTTCAGCAGGGTCTCGGGGTTGTTGATGGCGGTCGGCTCGCCGACAGAGCCGTGGGTGGTGGGGAACGGGGGCTTGTTGCGGGGCTCGCCGCGGAATCCCTCCAGCGAGTTGAACAGGGCGGTCTCCTCGCCGCAGATGTAGGCGCCCGCCCCCCGCCAGATGGCGATGTCGAAGTCGTGGCCGGTGCCGGCCGCGTCCGGGCCGAGCAGGCCCGCGGTTCGCAGCCGCTCGATGGCGCCCTGCAGGCGGGCGGTGGCCAGCGGGTACTCGCCCCGGATGTAGATCCAGCCGTTGTTCGCCCCCGGTGGCCAGCCCCGCGATGGTCATGGCCTCGATCACCGCGAACGGGTCTTGCTCCATCACGATGCGGTCCTTGAACGTGCCCGGCTCGGACTCGTCGCAGTTGGCCACCACATGCTTGGGCCGTCCGGTTTCGGCGGCCACGGCGCGCCACTTCACTCCGGTCGGGAAGGCGGCTCCGCCCCGCCCCGACAGCCCCGAGGCGGCCACCGCCTCCAGAACCGCCTCCGCTCCCATCTGCCCGGCCCGTCGCAGCGCCTCGTAGCCGCCGTGGGCGATGTAGGACTCCAGCGACTCGGGGTCGGCTGTGCCGATGCGGCGCAGCAGACGCAGCGACGGGTCGCCGGCCTGGGGCAGCTCGAAGGGCTCGGCGTCGGCGGGCACATAGTCGGGGCGGCCGCCGGCCCCCTGCACGAACAGCGCCGGAGCCCGCTCGCACTGGCCCAGGCACGGCCCCAGGTGCACATGGCCGCCCTCGGCCCTGACCGAGGAGGCCAGGCCGTCGTAGCCCGCGATCTGGCAGGCCGCGTCGACGCACACATGGAAAGGTGTCGCCGTCGTGGTCCGGCGGCTCGGTGCGGAACAGATCGTAGAACGTGGCCACGCCGTAGGCCTCGGCCGGGGGCACGCCCAGCACCTCGGCCCACGTAGTTGATGCCTCCGGGGCTGATCCAGCCGGCCGCGTTCTGCAGGGCGTGCAGCGCGGGCAGCAGGTAGTGGCGGCGCTCCCGGCGCCGAGCCCGGCCGGAGGTATAGAGCCGCTCGGTCTCGGCACGCACGACCGGGTCCACTCCCCGGGCGCGCAGCGCCGCGTCGACCGCAGCCGCCTCGGACTCGGTGGCGCGGTCCGCGCCCAGATAGAGGTCGGTCATGCGCTAGGCGGTGGCGGGTTCCGGTCTCGAGCTTGGAGATGCGGATGGCGGCCGCCTTGAACTCCGACGTTCCCGAGCGCGGGTCCCACTCGTCGTTGGTCAGCACGTTGGCGTCCACCAGCTCCGGGAAGTGGAACGTGGTGAATGTGAGACCCGCGGGATGTCCGGCTGAACGCGCACGTCCATCTCCACCGAGCCCCGCGGCGAGCTGACCAGCACCCGCTCCCCGTCGGCCACGCCGAGCGCGGCCGCGTCGGCGGGGTTGACGTCGATGGCGTCGCCGTAGCGGATCGGCGAGACATAGCCGCCCGACTGCACCCCGGTGTTGTAGGAGTCGAGGGCCCGGCCCGTGGTGAGCCGCAGCGGGAAGTCGTCTGTGAGCCGCTCCTTGGGGGGAGCGTGGTGGGTGATGCTGAACGGCGCGGGGTCGCGGCCCTCGAGGTCGTCGGCCCACAGCCAGCCGTGCAGGAACAGCGAGCCGGGATGGTCCTCGCTCGGGCACGGCCACTGGATGCCGCCGGAGGCCTCGAGGCGCTCCCAGGACATGCCGGCATGCATCGGCGACAGCGACCGCAGCTCGTCCCAGAGCTCCTCGGAGCTGGGGTGGCCCCAGTCGACGCCGAGGCGTCGGGCCAGGTCTCCGATGATGTCGATGTCGTGGCGGGCCTGGCCCGGCGGGGGCACTGCGGCGCGCACGCGCTGCACCCGCCGCTCGCTGGAGGTGACCGTGCCGTCGGACTCGGCCCAGGCCACCGACGCGGGCAGCACCACGTCGGCCATCTCCGCGGTGCGGGTCATGAAAATGTCCTGCACCACCAGGATGTCGAGGCCGGCCAGCAGCTTGCGAGCGTGCTCGACGTCGGCCTCGGAGTCGGCGGGATTCTCGCCGATCACGTAGCAGGCCCGCAGCTCGCCGGCCTCCATGGCCTCGAACATCAGCGTCAGGTGCTTGCCGGGGACGGCGTTGAGCTCGGTGCCGTAGGCGGCCTCGAACTTGGCCCGCACCGCGTCGTCAGCCACGCCTTGGAAACCCGGGAACTTGTCGGGTATGGCGCCCATGTCGCCGCCGCCCTGCACGTTGTTCTGGCCCCGCAGCGGCACGAGTCCCGAGCCCCAGCGGCCCACATGGCCGGTGAGCAGGGCCAGATTGCAAAGCGACACCACGTTGTCGACCCCGTTGTGGTGCTCGGTGATGCCCAGGGTCCAAAGGATCTGGGCGGTGTCCGCGGTGGCGTAGGCGTGGGCCATGTCGCGGATGGCCTCGGCCGGCACGCCGGTCTGTTCGGCAGCCCAGTCCAGAGTGCACGACTCGACGTGGGCGGCATAGGCCTCAAAACCCTGGGTGGCACGGGCGATGAAGGTGAGGTTGTGCAGGCCCGCATGGATGACCTCGCGCCCCATCGCGTTGGCCAGCGCGATGTCGGTGCCGACCGACAGCCCCAGCCAGCGGTCGGCGAACTTGGCCGAGGACGTGCGCCGGGGGTCGATGGCGTACATGCGAGCGCCGTTGGCGAGACCCTTGAGGACGTGATGGAAGAAGATCGGGTGGGCCTCGCGTGCGTTGGAGCCCCACAGCAGGATCACATCGGCCTGCTCGACCTCCTCATATGACGAGGTTCCGCCTCCCGCTCCGAACACTGTCGCCAGACCGACGACGGAGGGAGCGTGTCAAGTTCGGTTGCAGGAGTCGATGTTGTTCGACCCGATCACCGTGCGGATGAACTTCTGGGCCGCGTAGTTCATCTCGTTGGTGGCCTTCGAGCAGCTGAACATGCCAAAGCCGTCGGGCCCGTGGCGGTCGAGCACCGCCCGGAAGCCGTCGGCGGCCCGGTCCAGCGCCTCGTCCCAGGTGGCGGGCCGCAGCCGCCCGCCGTCGCGCACCATCGGCGTCGTAAGCCGCGGCAGGCGCTTATCGCGTGATCGTTGCCCATTGCCTTCCCTTGTCGTCAGTCCGTCAGAACCTTTCGCGGAACGTCAGCCCAGCGACAGGGTCTCTCGCGCCTGGTCCGGAAGTCTGAATCCTGCCCCCCATCGCCTCCACCACCTCGCGCGCCCGGTTCAACCAGGTCGGCGTTCGAGGCGAACACGCCCCGAGCCAAGTAGAGGTTGTCCTCCAAGCCCACCCTGACGTGGCCGCCGAGCAGGACCGCCTGGGCAACCCACGGGATCTGCTGCGCCGACAGTGCGAAGGTGGTGAACTCGGCGCCGCAGGGCAGCAGGCGGGTCAACGCGGCCAGAAGCCCACATCGGTGGGCATGCCGTAGGGGATGCCGGTGCACAGCTGGATCCAGGCGGGTCGTCGACCAGGCCCTCGTCCACCAGCGTGTTGGCCAGCCACAGGTGGCCGGTGTCGAAGATCTCCAGCTCGGGCTTGACTCCGAGCTCCCGCACCCGCTTGGCCATGTCGCGGACCATGTTCGGGGTGCTCACATACACCTGGTGGCCCTCGCCGAAGTTCAGCGTGCCGCAGTCGATGCTGCACATGTCGGGTTTGAGGGCCTCCACGTGGGCGAGGCGCTCCAGGCCGTTGACCAGGTCGGTCCCCTCGGGCTGGAAGTCGAAGGGGTCGGGGTCGCCGATCAGCAGGTCGCCGCCCATGCCCGCAGTCGTGTTGATGATCACGTCGGTGTTGGCGGCCCGCACCAACTCCAATGCCCGGCGGTACAGCTCCACATCGCGGGAGCCCTTGCCGGTGGCTGGGTCGCGCACGTGGATGTGCACGATCGCCGCGCCCGCCTCAGCCGCCTCCAGCGCGGCCGTCGCGATCTGCTCGGGGGTTATGGGCAGGTCGGGGTGCCTGCCGGCGGTGTCGCCCGCACCGTCACCGCGCAGGTGATGATCGGGTTGCGGTTCACTACCGAAACCCTACCGCCTCGCGCGGGCCCGAGACGGCCCGGCTTCGGCAGCCGGTCGGCTGCCGCCGGAGCGGATGCCGCGCGTGGAAGGCGCGCCCATCCCTTCAGACTGGGTACGGTGTCGGCGCTATGCGATGGTCCAAGCTGTTCATTCCGACGCTGCGCGACGCACCCGCCGACGCTGAGGCAGCCAGCCACAAGCTGCTGGTGAGGGGCGGGTTCATCCGCCAGCTCCACGCCGGGCACTACTCGCTGCTGCCTCTGGGGCTGCGGGTGCACGACAAGGTCGAGAACATCGTGCGCCAGGGCATGGAGGAGATCGGCGCGCAGGAGTTCCTGCTGCCGGCCATGCACCCGGCCTCGATCTGGCAGCGCTCGGGGCGCTGGGAGTCGGTCGGGCCCGGAGATGTTCCGGCTGCAGGGACCGCAAGGAGGCCGACCTGGCCCTGGGCATGACCCACGAGGAGGTGTTCGCCGAGATCGCCCGGGAGATCACCTCGTACCGGTCGCTGCCGCAGATCTGGTACCAGATCCAGTGGAAGTTCCGCGACGAGCCCCGGCCCAAGTCGGGCCTGCTGCGGGTGCGCGAGTTCGCCATGAAGGACAGCTACTCCTTCGACCTCGACGACGCCGGGCCTGGACCGCAGCTTCGACATCCACCGCGAGGCCTACACCCGCATCTTCCAGCGGCTGTCGCTCGACGCCATCGCAGTTCAGGCGTCCTCGGGCATGATGGGCGGCACCGGGTCGGTCGAGTTCATGGTGGCCTCCCCCGCCGGCGAGGACGACATCGCCCGCTGTGCGGGATGCGGCTACGCGGCCAACGTGGAGCGGGCCACCTCGGTGCTGGCGCCCGGTCGACGACGGCGAGACGCCAGCGACGAGCTCAGCCCGGTTCCCCACCCCGGGAGTGCGCACCATCGCCGCCCTGGAGACCGTCGAGGGCGGAGCGCCCGCCCACCGGCAGATCAAGACGATGGTGATGGTGCTGGACGGCTCGATGACGCTGGCCCTGGTGCGGGGCGACCACCAGCTCAACCTCCAGAAGCTGGCCGACGGCACCGGCGCCGTCGACATCCGCCCCGCCGAACCGGCCGAGACGCTGGAGCGCCTGGGTGCCCATCCGGGCTCGCTCGGGGCGGTGGGCGTGAAAGACCTGCCGATCGTGGCCGACCACTCCCTGCGGGGCCGGCGCAACCTCGCGACCGGCGCCAACACCGACGACTGGCACTACTCGGGCGTGGACATCGAGCGCGACATCGCGGTGGACGAGTGGCTCGACCTGCGGGAGGTGTCGGCCGGAGAGCCGTGCGTGGGCTGCGGCAGCCCCCTGGAGGTGGTCCGCTGCATCGAGACCGGCCACATCTTCAAGCTGGGCCGGCGCTACGCCGAGGCCATGGGGGCCACCGTGCTCGACGCCGACGGGGTGGAGCGCACCATCACCATGGGCTCCTACGGCATAGGCATCGGCCGGGCCATGGCCGCGGTGGCCGAGACCCACCACGACGACCGGGGCCTGATCTGGCCGGTGGCGGTAGCGCCGTATGAGACGGTGATCACCGTGGCCAGCATGCGCGACGACGCCGCGGTGGCCGCGGCCGAGCGCTCTACGAGCGAGCTGCAGGGCCTGGCGTGGAGGTGCTGCTGGACGATCGGGACGCCCGAGCCGGGGTGAAGTTCGCCGACGCCGAACTGGTGGGCATCCCGTGGCGGATCACAGTGGGCCGGGCGCTGGCCGAAGGCGCGGTGGAACTCACCGATCGGACCAACGGCGAGACGCAGCGGGTCGGAGTCGAGGATGCCGCGGCCCGAGTGGCCGCGCTCGTAGCCGGCGCCCAGTCCTGACCGACGCCAACCGTGCGCGAGCAGGTGGCGCCGCCTCGCGGTGCAGCGTGTCGTTTCCCGCTCTGGTTCGCTGCGCTCACGGGCCGCTCGGGCCACGGCGCGGAGTCTCAGTCGGACAGCTGCAGCGAGAGGCGTCGGGTCGCCTCGATGACCGCCATTCCGTGGTCGTGGGTGACGTCGGGGTTCGGGAACCGGTACGCGGGACCGTGGACGTGCAGGGCCGCCTCCACGCTGCCGTCGCTCTCGAAGAACGGCGGGCAGCCACGGAGTTGATCCCCTCGGCGAACTCCTCGTACACCCAGGCGTAGCCGATGCTGCGCACCTGCTCCAGGCGATCCCTCAGCTCACCGGGGTCGGTCATGGTCCACGAGGTGCACTCAACCAGCGGACCGGCCAAGTACTCCTCTATGAAGCTTTCAGGCTGGTGGGCCAAGATCACCAGCCCCGACGGCACCGCGTGGAGTGGGGCGTACTCGCCGGTCCAGTCCCGCACCTGGATGTTCGAGGAGGACTCGGTCTGGTCGAGGTAGTAGACCTGCCCGCCGTCGATGATCGAGAGGCCCCGCAACCTCGTCGATGCTCTCGGCCAGCTCAAGCAGGTGAGGCCGAGCCGCGGCCACCAGGTTTCGGCCCCGGGGAGCCGATCCGGCGAGATCTATCAGACCCGGGCCCAGCCTGTACTCGCCGCCGGCCTCGGTCTGCTCGACGGCCTGCTCCTCTTCAAGGGAGGCGAGCAAGCGGGCCACGGTGCTCTTGGGCAGGTCGACCCGCTCGGCCAGCTCGGTGACGCCCACCGGACCCAGCGCCAACGCCCGCAACAGCGCGAACGACCTCTTGATGGACTACGACAGCTAC